GTTTCAAACTGAGAACACCATCTTATTTTCTAAAGCCATGACTAGATTTCATTTCTTCCACATGCTACAGCGCTTCTGCCTCCGATATAAACAAATGTTCAGATGTGATGTCACCAATCTTGAGAGTTTACACCAAATAAAGAAAAAATTGAATTTACAGATATATGAATGCAGACGAGTTTTAACAAAATGGTAAATTCTATTGTTTTCCGTTGTGAGATGTATACATCATGGAACACGTTTGTGTAATTGGTTATCCATGATACAACCATCCATGTGTGTTAAGCCAAGAGCACCATCCTATTTTCTGAATATTCATTTTTATAGTATACTCGAGTAGTGTGTATCTGATGTTATTACATGTACTCCGTCACGAACATGAAGTGTCTACCAATTTAGTTATACTCGATGTATTTTTTCTATTTCTACAAGAAATGCAAAAACATGTACATAATTCACTCTCAAAACTATAATCTTACAAGCGTATCTGGTGAACGTTTGTTTTTTCATACAAAGCTGCAGAAATTGTCAAACCAATGAAGCACTTGAAATGCTGGGGATGTTTGCGATTAGTCAAAATTGAGTGTCTAAATCTTTGGATTGAGTTACCTGTGGCTGCAAAATACATCACCTCCCCAGTTAATACCCTCCCCCTCCACTGGAATGGTGTACTCCGCAACATGTGGGCATTAGATACACACTAAAGTACAGTCTGAAGTCATCAAATTTTTTTTTTAAGGCGTACAAGAGTTGTTGAATTTGATCAGAATATTTCTATGTATTTTAAATAAAGTGCCTTCAAGTCAAAATAAACCAAATTAAACTAAAAATTTGACCTAGTATTTTGTTAATGGTCCTTGGTCTTGAATACTCGCTGTGATCTTGTCTACAGTTCAACTGATGTAGGAAACCACGATATTTGGCCTACAGTTCAACTAATCTAGGAAACCAGTGAACACTTTTTGAGAGGCCAAAACATTTTAACTAGATCATGTGGCCATTTTAACTACATCATGTGCTGATTTTAACTAGATCATGTGCTCATTTTAACTAGATCATGTGCTCATTTTAACTCGATCATGTGGTCATTTTAACTAGATCATGTTGTCATTTTTGTCTACGATCAATTAAAAAATAAACACAATTCAAGCAGAGCAATCCTTTATTAGTTTACAATGAGCTTCATGTTACCATCACATGACTGCTAAATGATGTAAAAACACAAATTATTCATTCTTTTACAGCTCAATGGTGCAATATTGTTAACTTTCTCACCACCAGACTTTCTCGCCCAAATTGTTCAGTATTTTTTTTTTCTATATTCTTAAATATTTCTGGAAATGAACCCTAATTTTGGCTATCTTTGTTCCAATTTTCTGAGTGCAAGTGACCATAGCAACGTATTTTGATATCAGCTAAAAAAAAAAGTCCTGTGACACAGATTTTTAGTCCCCGTTCGGACGCAGTCCGAAAACGGGGACTTATGTTTTGCCCTGTGTGCGTCCGTCCGTCCGTCCGTCCGTGATCACCTGTATCTCGAACATGCATGGACCGATTAAGTTCAAACTTCACTCATACATCACACATTATATGGGACATGTGCACATGCATTTTTTTCATGATCCGATTAACAATAGCCGAATAGCGGCCATATTAGGCCGAAAATGCATCAAAATTGCACATTTTCACCATTCCGGACCCGG